GAGGTCGCCGTCTACTGGATCCTATCCCATGTGACGGCCACCTGCACATGATTTGGATGCGAACATGGCAGGTAATTACACTCCGCCTTGTCCCGGTTAGAGTATCAGACGGCCTGCATGTGGGGTGTATGGTCGCCGTACCAATCTCCCTCAGTGCGTCCTGCCAGGTCGCCCTTCGCTCTGTGCCCTCCCACGCCTTAATTCTTGCCATCTCAGGGTACCGAGGCCATCCTGCCTGTCACACACGGACCTCATGTTCCGTACCATGTCCACGCATAAGTAATCTCGACAGTCAGCGTAGCAACCCAACCTGCTTCGCTGGGTCCCTGAACGCCCATGGCCCGACGCGGTGGATAAGGTTGTTCAATCCACGAACCGCAGGCTCTTCTGGAACCAGCACGCCTGCCGAGTATATCCTCCTGGAGCATACCACGTACAAATGCGCATGATTATTGACTGTGTTACCGTACCCGATGCAGATGGACAATCTAATCTTGCACCCCTGCTCCACACGCGCTCGATCTCGCTACTCCTACTTTTTACTTGATTGCTTACTTCTCAACTATGGGCCCACCTGTCTAAAAGCGTCAGCGTCGCAACTCGATACGCAACTTTGTTGGTGCTGGTGCTGGTGCTGGTGCTGTTTGCTGCTCCACGAAAGGTACTCCAGGTGGCGCGCAAAGGGCACGCTTATCGCAACCTTCGCGCCGCGATGATGAGCCCGACGATCGAATCGCACCACTTCCCCAATCCAGACTAAAATAGTCTACAAAATCACCGTCACAGTCGATGCGGTAATGAAGGCCGTGTACCAGGACAGTTTTGGGTTTGTGCATGCTGCTTGATGGTTGGTCCACCTCCAATACCATCTGTCTGTGACTTGTGATATGCAAGACGACGAACTATTTTGGTCCTGCGGCCCGCAGGATGCAATGTCCGTGGGGTCGTTTGATTTCCTGTACGCAATCGATACTGTAATCCGACCGCGCCAACGCCAGTATCGTGATCGTGCAGTCAGAGAGGCCAAGGGCGCAATGAAACTACTGCAGGAGAAAGACAGCCTGTCTCAGGGCTGTGATTGTGCACCGCCACAGGCACTCTGGTTGCCAGTCTTTTACTGCAGCACCCGGTGAGATGGGTGCATGCTCTAGGCCCCTCAGGGATCAGGGGTCGGTGCTCCCTGAGCATGTTTGTGTGTGTGTGCGTGAATGACACAACAGGACATGGGACGCTCCGCCCCAGACTGTGGCCGTAGTCCAGATCGCTCCGTGACTGGCATTGGCCCTGCTTGCTGTGAAGCTGCACTTGCGGAGGAAAGGGCCGACAGCAGTAGCGCTACGTACCGCCAGCATGCAGAAGTCAAGTCATTTGCGTCTGTGTCGAACATGGCATCTTGAAAATATAGATTGAGTGATGATAATCGCATGCGCCAGTGTGCAGGTAGCCGTGCGGCCCGTGACGTGTTGCAAGTTGACAAAGTTTGAATGTACTCTACACAAGTCGATACAATCGAAGATCAAAGGGCGCAGGCGGTCATAGCGGCTCCAATGTGTGTGTGCAGGCCTGTTGGGCATGTGTTTAGGCGAAGCGGCTTTTGCCGCTGCCAGCAGTGTCGAGACAGGCGATGGTGGCAATGGCGCTCATCTTGACCCCCCCCTCCGAAAAAGGGGATTTAAGCTCCTCAAGTCATGCTTGGATGGGCCCCAAGATTCAGTGCGCCCATAGAGGCTGGGCAGAGCAGTAGCAAGAGCCGTATGTGTGTAATCGGCACTAAAGTGACTCCAATGGTCTGATTTCGTTCTCATTATCGTTCTCAAGGGCGGGCGGTACTGGCTTCGCGCTGGTTAGCGGTTGATTGGGTCGGATTTGGCAAGGGCATCGCCTACAACGGGGGAAGAGTGCTAAGGTCACTCTGTGGCCGCCCGTTTTTGAACAGTCGGTGGTGGTGGAGGTGGGTGTGGTGGTGTGTACCTTTAGACACATGGGCCGTTCAAAGCCACCTGGACGGGTGATCAGCAAGCGATGCCTGCTAGGAGAATACCAGCAGTTTGGCACCGAGCGTCAAGCAGCAACCAGCATCTGGGCTCATGCGACACGAACGATCCGAGGGGGGAACGACAACCGGTCCACGACCTTGGGCTCGATTGCTGGCTGGTTCGATTGCGATGGCGCTGTACCCCCCTCTTTCCCTCACTGCCTCGTGCCCTTGGGCGAGCTTGGGGAGCCATTTTTGGCATGACCGCAGCAGTACCGTATGCCATGGAGGAGAGGGGCGATGAGACTCGGAGCCAGGCTAGTGGCTGGCGAATGGCCGTTGTGGGTTCACAGAGACGCCAGGTTAGTTATCGACGGCCGTTGCGTGGGCTCACCGTGAGTATGGATGGGCCGATGGGCCAAAGTTTGGTGGTCGGTTTCGGGCTCGCCTAAAAGCAAGTGACCCCGCAGCCAAGCCACCGACCCAGAAGAGGGAGAGCAAGACCCGGCCAAATGGGTCGCTGATCCTTCCCGCGCCCCGTGAGCGCAAGCGGAGCGACACCATGGCTGCGAGACATATCAAGGGCCAAGAGTGGACAAGCATGCACAACAAACGTACGACTTTGGCCGCCCACTTCCACGCCCATTTGCCTGCATCACTAACCATTCATCTCGCTATCAATGTCCTCCACAGAGCCTCATCATGTGGCCACCCCCTCCCCCTTCGCCCCGCATGCGCACCAATGCCCAGAGGAGGTGAGAGCACATACACACACACACACACACACACACACACACACACACTCACTCTGCTTGCACACTCTACTACACACATTGAGTTGGCCCGGACCTACAAATGGCAAGGAAGATGACGCGCCCATGCACTTGTACACACACACACACCTCTAGGAAGCATCCAACCGCGATCGACGCCGGCTTCGCAATCAGGGTTCGGATTCGCAAACATGCCTCTTCTGAAACTTCCCGAAGCAGTGCCCTCACTCACCCTAACGCTGGCAAGCCCAAGTATGCAAGCACCGCCCGTAGCTGCAAGGGCCGCCAAAGGCGCTGGCACATCTACACGTATGTGTATACGTATGTACACATCTACCGTACATATCAACATACACACTTGGGCTTTACCTCGACTGCCATCGCTAAAGCTTGCCCATTATCGTGGTACCGAAACCATGTTTGCGCGCTGGCGTGCGTTGCAAGGAAGCGCTGTCTCATCCCCAGAGGCTAGCCCACAAGGTACCGTCACCCATGGCCGCGGACTTGCGACACCATGGACGACGAGCCGGGCCCGGGCCCGGGGCCGACCAGTCCCTGTCATGTCAGGACCAACTGGCAAGCGAGCACAAAGCAAACATGTCTTTGTCTGCACTTGGCCTCTCCATCGCATCCGTGGCCTCCATCCGTCATATTGGCTTCAACTGACGGCTCTGCTTTTGCCCTGTCTAAAACACTCCTACGGCCTTGGATGACAGGGAGGTGTACAAGGGCTTGCGCCGGGCCCGGCAAATGCCTTCGCCCGTATCGTGTCTTTTGGATTCTGGCCCCCAATCTTCGCTTACCCCAGTCTCTCCCCCATGTATCGGGCGGCAACTCGACATCCACTCCCGTCTGCGCCATACCGGAAGCTGGTGATAAGACTTGCTTTTTCCTCCAGGGCCGGGGTGTTTAGGAGCATTCCCGCAATATCGCAATCCTTGGTTGGCGACCATGCAGCGTGGACGTGTTAATTTGGCGCCTATCCTGTAAGGTTTTGCCCAACATGGCACTATTTCAAGAGTGGCACCGACGTGGTCCTCCCCGTCTGGCTTGGGGGCCAACTGCGTGGGTGAATCCGATGGTCACGCACTGTGTCAGGCAGCCATGCCATGCTGTAATGTCGTGAGAAGGCAATGAGGGGAAGTGGCCCGATGCGAAGGCGTCTCTCTCCCCTGCTCCTTTTTTCTCGCGAAAACCCCTCATCGTAGACGCAGAGTGAGACGGAAAATTTCAGAGTGCTATGTAGTCGCAGATGGACTCAGACGTATCCATCTTGTCGGGTCCAAATTGCCCTCAGCTCATGCGGAGAAAGTACGGATGGGGCAGGTGGCCCTAGTACCCCAAAGCCATATCCTCTTAGACAGTACTCTATTTGGACGACATTACCCACCCTGTGGCCACTTCGAGATGCTGCAAGTGATTTTAATATCTTCGCGTTCAAAGCACATCCAAAGTGCATCCAGAGTGCATATTCACCAGCCCATCGACGCACTACCTGCACTATGACCCAAATAACAAATTAGCGCGAACGCGAACACGAATACGATACCCTGCACACATGGAACACACCCCGCTGTAGGCTCAATCTACACCAATATGCTCACTCATGTACTGACCGCGGCCTTTTTCTGGGCTGTCTCAGGATGTATGTATCAAAAGTCATTGTGCCACTTTTGTCAATTCATCGCCATTTCTCAAATAAGTTGACGTCACTAGTTTACATCTCGATCCCTAACAATGCCCAACACTTGACTTCAGACTTATCGTTGATTACCTATCCCAAAAATTAACTATGCAAAATTATCACGCATCTAGACATAGCTACAGCATTAACACATCATGCAGTAAACGGGGATGGTGAGTAAAAACTCTGTTTCGGCATTTGAAAAGAAACAAACACCATCTATGAAAATCTAGACCGACCGATCTGCTCTGGCCAAGCCTTTCTCCGGATACTGCCCATGGGTATCGAAAATACAACTAACTAACGCCAAAGGAAATATCATGCAGTCCCCCCTCCCATGCCCGGGAAAACAACATGTTCAAATCGAGGTTCTAGATGTCTGTCGCCCCGGTGAAATCAGTCGCCCATGACTCGGCCGCAAAATCCGCCTCCAGTCACCTGCCGTGAAAAGTAGCAAAGTAGAAAGAGGTGGCTAGCCACTTGCAAGCCTGTTCTGGACCAATTCCTACAGAGCGTAATCCAGGTCGAAAGACAACACAGTCATCTTACCTTGGTCTAGCCCGATAACCTACTTGGCCTTAATGCCATCCAACTCTGGCTGCTTCTCATCTTGCGTGCGGCCAGCCCAGTCGTTGACCCAGAAGGTCGCGACAGTGTAGATCTTGATAAGGGAGTGAGCGTACGCAAACAGAGGGTAAGCCGGGATGGGGAAGAAGTACCAGAAAAAGTCTGAACGGTTCTGTGTATGCATGAACCATGGGATCGTCTTGGTTAGCTTCGACATCCAGATGAAAGAGATCAGAAGACCCAACCAGTAGTACTGGGCTGAAGAGTCGCGAAAGAATGTGGTAGTGGTAAAAGTCCAGACTGCCAGAGTATCCCAGAAGAGAGCGGCATTGTGCATCCACGGAAAGTACACCATCCAGACAGAAATGGGCCACTTCCACCATACAGTCAGATCGACGAATAAGGCGATAGGATTCTGTCGGATAGTCGTACGGCTCCAGCGCATGCACTGGTCCACAAACTTGAACTTGTCCATACGTCCTAGCTGAGTGGCCATGGTCGCATCTTCGGTATACTGAATCTTGACGTCCATACCGTGATTGATGACCCAGCGCGTAATGAAGTTGTCGTCGTCAGCCTTGAGCGGACCAACGCCCTCAACACCAAGGCTAGGAAACGACCAGATATACTCATTGAGGAACTTCTCCACAAACTCTTCATCCTTGACGATCCGAGACAAGATCAAGCTGGTACGACCAGAGACGCAAAAGACGCCTCCATCCGCAGCATTTGAAGCGCGAATCTCAAAGTTGTGACGCACAAGATACAGCGCCCCAATGGTATTCCAGAAGCCAGAACGATACCGCGCAACCGTATTCTGATACCAGCTGAGCTCGCAATCATACTCGGGCAGCGGCAACCGCTCAACCCACTTGCGCGTGCCCACAAACCCTACCTTGTCATCCTGAAAAGCCGGGAGCGCAGCCTCGAGGAACTTTGGGAACCACACTGCACTATCATCCGCCATGACCATAATCTTCGTGCCAACCATCTTGATCCCCTCTGCCGTCTGCGTCCGCTTATCCTTCTTGTTAGCCTCACCCGTGACAACAATCCTAGTAGCACTACAGTACCCACCCATTTCTTTCATCTTGCCAACTCCCCTACGCTCTTCGAACGCCTTCTGGATCCCCAACACAATCGGCCGCACAATATCCGCAATACCCGCTTCTGGCGTAGAAAACACAATGCGTTTCGGCTTGTTAGCAAGGATTCCCTCAACCATGCGCGTAAACAGCTCGAGATTCTGGCCGGGACCCACCGTAGCTACCACAACCGTACAGTCCTCAGCCGTGTACTTTGGTTTGCCGTGAGAAGCGCGGTGCACACAGGGTTTGTACTGGGTCCAGAAGACGATAGCAACGAGCGTACGCCAGTACCGCAGTGCCATCAACGCACTGAACCACACCATCTGCTTATCCTGTGCGACCTTGGCTTTCAAGACGGCGGTGAGGAGGCAGAGAGCAGGGACGGTGTGAAATGAGAGACCGAAGATGATGGAGGGGGAGACGGGCTCTAGTCGGGCTTTCATTGTGAGAACGAGGTGCAGGGTCCAGAGTGCCATGGTGAGGACCAGGCAGGTTGCGAGGAATGTGCCGGGGTCCGCCGGGTTGTAGTTCCAGAGTGTGGTCACGGTGAGGGAGGGCGTGTTGGGTAGGGTGGAGAGCCACCAGAGCCAGAGGACGGGGATGGTGGTGAAGGTTGCGATGAAGTGCTTCATACCTGGTTGAAGAGACATTTTCTTTTCTTCAGTTGTTCAAGGGGAAAGCTTTGTTGGTGATTTTTCTTAGTGACTCTTTTTGCTTGACTTTTGCTGATTGAGGTAACTTGCTTTGTTGACTTGCTTTGAGTTGTTGTAATGGAGAGACTTTTTTTTTCGTTGTTTCTGCGAACCTTTGATATGCCTTTTGGAAAGAGGCATTGTGCAAACGGGTACAGATGGTGTGACTCGAGCGAGTGAGTGTGAATAGGGACGTTGTGAAGATTCTGGGGGCGCTGTGGTGGTACAGGTGTTGGGGTGGGACAGAAAATTCTCGTGGTGTTGTGAAGAAGTGAGAGGTGGGTGGAGTAGATTGGTGAGAGTTGGACATTGTGTTGTGTTGATAGCGCAGAAGGGAATTGAAAGGGGGGACTGGTTGAGAAGATAGACATGGCTATGCAGATGGGGGTTTTGTATTGGATCGATGTGTAGCTAAGCTTGAGTACTTTTTTTTTAGCTGACTTAGAGATATACAGTTGTTCATTTTATGATGATTATTTTGTTATGCGGTGAATTTGGATTCATGCATGTACTGGCTTTCGAAAGGAAACGGTATTTCAATTGCTAGAAGTTGACCAAGAACTATGAAAGAAAACTCCGGAAACCTTGAGAGTAGCTTGTAACACGTTACTGATGACTGTACTCGACAACGGACTCGAGAAAAACGTTTGCATATTCGTGGTACAAAGAGGTTCGAGTACAAAACACAACCTTGAATGTTTGATAGATGACTATGCGATGGCAAATCCAGTCATGTCGTTTCCTGGCAACTATGATTCATATTTTAGAATATAGAAAAATAAACCCCATATACGTAGTTTTGAGTTATAAAGTTTGTTCGCCGTTGCAGTCTCGCCATTTGAATGCGATGTTTGTTGGTTGACGAACTTGTGGTCACTGCATAAACATAGTTTCTTACGTGCAGTTTTTATTGACGAGGATGTTAGAGTTGAATCGGAAAAGGGTTTTGGATACCCCGCATCCTTGTTTTGCTTCAAGTAGACTACTAAGTACGCGGGACAAAAGTACATTTCGAATGACTAACTGAAAACCACAGATGTCAGGTCATTCCTGGGTTCACAGCACTTTGGGAGATCACAGAAAGGATAGCGTATTACGTCCAGTATTTCTCACCGTAATATTTCGACTTTCTCTGTTCTATTAAGACGCACTATCTTACGCTAGACACCTCAGGTTGTACAATACACCAGGAGGCGAAACTCTGAACCAACGAGTCTTTACCTGCACCCACGATTAAATAAACCAACATGGGCTATCCACGTACTTTATATCCAGGCAAGACGACGGAATATCGGTATAGTTGCCCCCCTTAGCGCTCTAGTATGGCACCGCTGTTGGCGCGCGATGAAGTCCACTACCTTCCTCCTCCGCATCAGTGCCACAGCCATCCCCATCTTCTTTAAAACTAGTCTCACTGGCTTGATCACTAGTCTCCGCTTGACTAACAATATAATCCCGATGATGCCACATCTCAAGCTTCTCTGTAGCGGTGAGCGTTATGTGCCAGGAGCCCAAGTCGTCCAGGCGCCCTTGGTCGCATTCTCATCAGCCCGAGCAATGCAACTCCAAACCACGCGAGAGCTGCGCATGCAGCGAAAATCTGGGGTTATTACGCTTTCGCTGCAGTACTTCTGTGGGGCGTCGAGAGACCGGTGGTAGTGTGACCAGCGAGCATCAGATGCGCAGACCATGGGGATAGAAAAATTGCGGGGTTAGCGCGATACAACGGGCGTGAACAGTCGGCTGCTGTCTTCCTTTGATTTGCGACTCTTGCATAGCGAAAAAAATAATCCATTTAGTTCCTTGGGCATAAAAAGGTCCCAAGGAACAGGCCCTTTATACAGGGAAGGTGCAGACATATGAATTGTCACAAGTCAACATGATAATACGGAGATGAATACTAAACCGACCAAAACCATCAGTCCCAAAACGGAAGGCCGCCTTTAAACCTTCCCCCTCCATCAACCATTCTGCCCTACGCATGACTCGAGCGCACTCACCCCCATGTTCTTAATAGACTACATACGCTGTTTCATTTCCCCTAGCCCACAGTTCGCCGGATGTCGCCACGATCCGCGGAGCCCAAGACTCGGCTTTTTAGATGAACAAGGCGACATGCCTCCACCACTCACAAGCGAAAGAAGCCCAAAATGCCTTTTTTTTCTTTCACCCTACCCTTACTAAAAAATCGCCAAAACACACATGCTAACGTCACCCCCCTACTGAACCGGCCAACCAAAACCAACCAACCAAACTAACCGCCCCGACTACTTACTTACTTTACTACTAACATCAAACCACGAGGGCTCTCACGCCCCCTTGGCTCATCGCTCATTTCTCATCATGCGGCATGCCCACGTTGAAGGGGCCAGCGACCCTGCGTGCCCTTTGAATCCGCGAGACTTGCTCCAACTAGGACTTATTTCCGCGCGACCGTTTACAGGCCCTGCGCTTTTCTCTCTATCTCTGTGTCTTTGACCTTCTTAGCCCCGTTTTTTCTTCCCTTACGTAGAAGGATGCTGTAACGGTGCAAGGCTTTGATTTCCTAATTTGAGGTCCTTCGGCCAATCGGCGGAGGGAGATGGTGAAGGAGTGCTGGTCACGCTGGTCACGCTATGGGTCTTTTTGTCTTTTCTGCTTTCAACGTACATGTCCATTGGGGATGGGCGGGTGGAGAAGTGCAGCAGACCTGGATGGGTCTGCGAGGAGGTTGTGGTGGGAGTGGGGCGCGCATAGGGAGGGTTTGGGTGTGTGATAAGGAGGGTTGTGAAATGTATAAGTTGGATAGATGTGACCGTTTTTTCAGGATTGGGGTTTCTTGCTATCATCTGTTTGGTTGCATTTCCTGCACTTTTAGTTACTTGGATACGAATATCTGCCACTCATGTCTCTCAAGTCCCTCTTCGTTTCGGCACCGTTGCTTTGGCGCGGTGTTACCGCACTCCCTGCTGGCCCTGGTTCCTGGACACATGGAAACTCGACGATTATGTCTTCTTCGGACTTCAGTGCTGCGGCGGCATACAACCTGATCGATACGTATGACGCTAGTAACTGGGCGAGCAAGTTCAACTTTGAAGATATCGCTGATCCCACGCGTATGTATCACTTCACTCTAGCGTCTGTGAGTTTTGATTTCTGACCTGATGATGCAGACGGCTTCGTCGACTATGTCACTTTGCAACAGGCACAACAATATGGACTATTTAAGACGCAGAACAATCAGATATACATGGGCGTAGACTCCACCTCCACTCTTAACCCCAACGGCCCGGGAAGAAGGAGTGTCAGAATACAAAGCAAGACAGCGTACAACCGCGCTCTCGTCATTGCAGACTTTGCCCATGTTCCTGGTAGTGCATGTGGCTCTTGGCCCGCCTTGTACGTCTCCTTTTCCACATCCCTCATCCCATCCCACACCTCGCTAACACTCCCTTCCGTCCAGCTGGATGGTCGGTCCCAACTGGCCTAACCAAGGCGAAATCGATATCTACGAAGGCGTCCACCTCTCGAGCTCCAACCAAGTAACCCTGCATACATCCCCCGGTTGCAATCCCTCCATCGGCCCCGGCGGAGAAACCGGACGTCGTCTCGCAGGCGACTGCGGCGCCGACGGTGGCTTCAACGGCTGCGGCATCCAAGCCGACAACCCCGTCTCGTTCGGCACGCCCTTCAACGCCAACGGCGGCGGCGTCTACGCCACCCTCTGGACCAGCTCCGGCGTCAAAGTCTGGTACTTTGCAACTCGCAACATCCCTGCCAACATCAAGTCCGGGAACCCAGACCCCTCGGCTTGGGGCACCCCGATTGCGAATTTTGGAAACAATGGATGCGACTTCGATGCCAAGTTTCGCGACTTGAATATCGTGTTCGATGTTACGTTTTGTGGCGATTGGGCGGGAGGGGTTTGGGGGTCCACGACTTGTGCGCAGGTTAATCCAAGTTGTGTGGCGTATGTTGCGAGTCAGCCGCAGAACTTTTCGGAGGTGAGTTGCGTTGTGAAGTATTTGAAAAGGGAATTGTTATGCTAACTTTACACAGTCGTACTGGCTCATCAACTCGGTCAAGGTCTACAGTGTTTAGGCTTGAGAGTTATTGTTAGATGCTTCGAGATATCGTATGCATCTGTTTATGCACACATAATATCTCGTACGCGTCGCTCTTTGTTTTTCGTTTCTCTGACTATATTCTTCTTCTCTTTCTTCTATGTATTTACTTCTTGGATGCAGGGTGTGATGTGCTAGAGGAGAGTCACATCACATATGTTGCCCGATATCTACTTTGTATTTCCTATCTACACTCTATTTCCTTGTACGACCCGCTTCATATACCCTCTATTCTCCTTTATAGAATCTATTGCTCATTCACCATCTTTTCCAGCGCCTCAACCTCACTCTTTTGCCACTCCGTGACCTTGCCCTGCCACTTTTCGCCCTTGCCTCCGCCCTTGACTGTGCTCACGACCTTCTTGACCTTTGCCGCCATTTTCTCCACCAACTCCGGCTTGCCGAAAATGACGAGCGACCCTGAGCTCTTGGCCTCGCCTGTAGACAAGACTACGACGGTATCCTGATCCTTGACTGCATCTTTGATCTCGAAGAGGACGAGGTTGATGAAATCCAGTCCTTCACTTGCGCGGTGCACGAATGCGGCTTCATGGTCCTGAAGATGATTCTTGATGCGTTCGCCTTGAAATGAAGCGATCTCAGCAAGTAGTTTCTTCTCCTTTTTTCGTGCTTCAGAGACCTGGTCGGCGATTCTTTGCACACCAGCTGCCACATCGGCTGGTGCCGAACCTGAGGATAGCGAGACGGCAATGGAGCGAAGGCCCATAATGGATTCTGTGGCCAGTTTGATCGCACGGTCGCCGGCTGTGAAGAATAACCGACAATTTGTACCTCGCACTGATTGTGTGTGGTGCAGAAGTATCAGGTTGATGTGCG